TTCGGCTGAATCTTTGGGGCTGGCTTTTGGATCCTTCTCCTTGGCAGCAAAGAAGAGATCTTCGGCTTATCTAACCAATTACGGTTAAGATCAATCAACTCATCAAGAGTTCTAAAACTTGCCACGCAAGTTCTCCACAACGTCAAATCGTGAGGAGAAGATCATGTTCCAGTGAAACAAGATGTCGGATCGTCAACGAGAAGTAAACTCGACGCGAGCAATCGAGGGAGGCATCTCATCGCCACCGTGAAGAACCCAGTTTTAAACAAAGGGGAGAATCCAGATCATTCTCCTCTCTTTTGTAATCGGAATCCAAATTGTAATCGATTTTTGAGAGAATACAAATCAATTTTTCTTTCATTTCTTTTACATCGAAATTTTCCACAAACAGAGACCGATGAGATGTCAAGGAGAGAGAAGTTGAGCGACGAAAATGACTTTGGTCTTTTTTTCCATTTCTCGTAACAGATTGGGTTGTCTTTGGAAAATAATATTAAGACAATCAAGAATTTAAACCCAAACCTGATTAGATAAGCATAAAAAAATCAGTTAATTTTTCATACTGAAAAATCGGCCGACATAGCTAACATGGCCATTGATATATCCGCCCGAATATTGTCTCCCGATATATCCGACGTGAGCTTAAAAACGCAATACACATTGAAAAGCTCCTTATCATGTCAGTTGGCCCCTAAATTGGACATATCGGCCGACACTTAAAATGTTGGTCTGAAACGAATCAAAATTGACAAATATTATCGTTTGTAGTTGACAAACTCTTATGTAAATATAAGTTATTTTCATTCATTCAAAACAAATCGAGATTGTCAAAATTTATGGGTTATATCCCATGAAAATCACTAACTTCGATGTACACATAAATATTTTTTCATTTGAAACTGACCAAAATTGGCGGAAAGCATAAGTTTAGCCCATGAAATGCGTAATTTTGATGTACACTTAATAAATTTATTTTCGTTAAAAACAAACAAAAAATGATTACATTCGTGGATTATAGCTAATTAAAGCTGTGTAAACCAAAATTATCAAAAATCGTATTATAGCTCATTAAAATTGTGAATTTTGATGTACATAAAATTTATTTGTGATTGTTGGAAACAAAAAAATTACAAAAACCTTAGGTTATAGTTTATGAAAATCATAAATTTTTGTGTATATAATAAATTTACTTTTGCTCAAAACGAACCAAAATTGATAAAATTGTGGGTCATTGCCCATGAAAATCGTAAATTTTGATGTGGAGTTAATAAATTTACTTGCGTTCGAAATGAACCAAAATTGACAAAAATCATAGATTGTAGCTCGTGATAAGCACGAAATCGAATGTGCAAGTAACTTATTTACATTCATTGAAAACGAACCAAAATTGTTAAAATTCATGGGCTATAGCTCATCAAAATCGCAAATTGTGACATACACATAATTTATTTGTATTCATTCAAAATAAAAGAAAGTTAACAAAAATCTTGACTTATAATTCATGAAAATCGCGAATTTTTATGTGCATATAATAAATTTACTTTTATTCAAAACAGATCAAAATTATCAAAAATTATGGGTACAACCTATGAAAAGCGCAAATTTTGATATACAAGTAATAAATTTTCTTTTATTTAAAACGAACTAGAATTGTCAAATATCATGATTATAGAACAATCGTAAACTTTGATTTTCAATTAATGGCTTTACTTTCTTTCGAAATGAATTAAAATTGATAAAATTCGTGGATTATATTCATGAAAATTGTAAAGTTTGATGTACACATAATAAAATTTATTTTCAACAAAACAAAATTGAAAAATTTGTGGATTACTGATGAAAATTCCGAATTTTGATGTGAAAATTTTATTTACATTCGTTTTGGAAGAACCAACATTGTCAAACTTCATGGATTATAGCCCATTAAATATGCAAATTTTGATGTGTATATGATAAATCACTTTCATTTAAAATGAACCAAAATGTGAAATTTTTTGGGTGGGTTTGTGAAAATCGCAAAATTTGTTGTCCACATAATTTGTTTATATTCATTTATAAACGAAGGGAAAATGTAAAAAATTATGGTTTATAGCCTATGGAAGTCAAAAAGTTTGATATACACATACACTTTCATTCTGAAAGAACAAAAATTAAAAAAATTTGTGGGTTGTCGCTTATTAAATTTACAAATTTTGATGTGCACATAATAAATTACTTTCATTTGAAATGAACCAAAATTGAAAAATATGTGGGGTAGTTTGTGTTGATGTACACATAATTTGTTTATATTCATTCAAAATGAATGGAAAGTGTTAAAATCATGGGTTATAGTTCATGAAAGTTAAAAATTTTATTATACATATAATAAGTTTACTTTTGTCCGAAACGAACTAAAATTGAAAAAAAATTTGTGGGTTATAGCTCATTAAAATCACGATATTTGATGTACAAAAATTTATTTTCACTCATTCAAAATGAACCAATATTTTCAAAAAGTCATGTGTTATAGCATGTGACAATTACAAATTTTTATATATACTTAATAAATTTTTTTGAAACAAAGTAAACCAGTCTAATATCGTCATAGCACATAGCACATGAAATCATAAAGTTTGATGTACACTCAATAAATTTAAATGCGTTAAAAACAAAATAAAATTGACAAAAGTTGCGGCTTATAGCTTATTAAAATTGCAAATTTTTTTTGTACACAATAAATTTTATTTTTCTTCATAACAACGCACACTTGTAAAATCTATAAGGCTCATGAAAATCGTGAATTTTGTTGTACACAATTTATTTATATTCGTTTCAAAAGAGCTCAAGTTGTCAACATTAGTGGCTTATAGCCCCTTGAATACGCAAATTTCGATGTACATAGAATAAATTTACTTTAATTTATTTATTTTCATTAAAAATGAGCTAAAATTGTCAAAAATAATGGGTTATAGCCCATAAAAATTACAAATTTGATGTACATAGTAAATTTACTTTGTTGAAAATGAACAAAAGTTGTTAAAAATTGTAGGTTAAAATTGTAGGTTATAGCCCATGAAAATCGTAAATTTTGATGCGCACTTAATAAATTTACTTTCATCTGAAACGAACTAAAACCGTCAAAGATCATTGGTTGTTGCACATGAAATCATAAATTTTGGTACACGTAAGAAATTTACTTTTGTCTGAAGCGAACAAAAATTGTCTAATTGCAAATTTTGTTCACTTTAATAAATCTACTTTCCTTTGAAATGGACCAAAAATGACAAAAACTGCGATTTATGGCTGATTATAATCACGAAATCTGATGTTCAAATAATTTATTTACATTTGTTCAAAATGAACAAGGATTGTGAAAATTCATGGATTATAGCCCATGAAAATCACAAATTTTGATGTACATATAATAAAATTTTAACATTCAAAATGAACCATGATTGGTGAAATGTGGGTTAAAGCCTATGAAATATGTCAATTTCACATAATAAATTTATTTTCATTCAAAATGAACGAAAAGCGACAAAATTCATTAATTATAGCTCATTAAAGTTGCGTATTTTGGTGTATGCATAAATTATATACATTCGTTCAAAACGAACAAAAATAATAAAAAATTATGTATTATTGCTCATTAAAAATCACAAATTTTGATGTACACATAATTTATCTGTATTCGTTCGAAATGATCGAATATTAACAAAAATCTTGGTTATAGTTCATGAAAATCCAAATTTTTATGTGCACATAATAAATTTACTTTTGTTGTAAATGAACTAAAATTGTTTAATATTGTGGGTTATAGCTCATGGAAATCGTAAATTTTGATGTGCACTTAAGAAATTTACTTTCATTTGAAATGAACTAAAACTATCAATGATCGTGTGTTATAACACATGAAAATCGCAAATTTTGATGTACAATTAATAAATTTACTTTCGTTCGAAACAAATTAAAACTGAAATAATTCGCGGGTTACCACTTATGAAAATCGCAAAATTTAATGTACGCATAATAAATTTTGTTTTCATTCAAAACAAAGCCAATTTATAAATGGGTTATAGCTCATAAAAATCCCAAGTTTTGATATATACATAATTTATATACATTCATTCTAAAATAATCAAACTTGTCAAAATTCATAATTTATGGCCTATTAAGTACACAAATTTTGATCTATACATAACAAATTTACTCATTCAAAATCATTCAAAGTACACTTAATAAATTGTCGAAAAGTATCAAAGATAATTTATTTACTATCATTCAAAATGAGCCAAAATTGTTAAAAATCATGGTTTATAGTCATGAAAATCTTGGGTTTAATTCATGAAAACTGCAAATTTTTATGTGCACATGATAAATTTGCTTTTCTTCGAAGCGAAAATGGATATAGCACATAAAAATCACAAATCTTGATGTATATGTAATAAATTTATTTTTGTTCAAAACTAACCAAAAGAAGTAAAAAACTGCAGGTTGTAAATCGCAAATTTTGTTAATAAATTCACTTTCATTCGAAATGAACCAAACTTGACAAAATCGTGGTTTATAGCTGATGATTTCGAAGTCTGATGTACGAATAGTATATTTATAATTTTTGAAATCGAACCATTACTATGTGGAAAAGCCATGTTGCTCACTGTCAACAAACTTTTATTATTACTGGAACAGTCTTTCCAAATCAAAGATGTTAATGTTGAGAATAATGTAGTATATATTCTGTGTGGTCTCAGGATGATACAATATGGCTTGACAATTAACACCATTGCCCCTGACAGTTTTTAACTTTATGGTTAACCTCTTGCCAACCATCTCACCAGTGTTTTTCATTGCCCATCAATGGTTTCTTTTTCCTTTTATATTTTTTATCCTTTCATGAAAATATACACATCCTAAATCTTGCAAGACGCCTTGTTCATGCTTTGTATGTCAACCCAATTACATGAATTTGTTTATTGTCCAATTTTTCATTATCTGATGAACATGCTCCACTAAAAAAACAGGTTACTGTTGGAGGTCCAATCTTCGCAGGAGCTTGTATGTCATCTGCTCTTCCTTCTCAGGTGCAATTAATTGCTTATAGAATATATTTCCTTTAACATTTCAATGTAAATAAAACTTTCTTTTGGCAATACAATTCTCGTAAAGCCAATGACTTGCACATTATGTGGTTTCACATGACAGTAAATGCAATGGAGTCACTTAACAGATAAATATGAGAAGTTAGTTTATGAAACTAGAATTGTTGTGATTCTTTGTAATATATCAGCAAAATATAGGATAGCCAATTTTTTGCCTGCCACGTCTATTACTTTGAAGATAAATGCTTCTTTTCCTTGCATCTCTCTTTTACTGATTCCATAAGCAACCTTTTTATGTGTGGGCACGTAAATTGTTTGCAATGAATTACGACTCTCTTGAGATACGGCTATACCTGGAAAATTCCATAAATCTTAAGGGTGAGTATTTTCCAGGCGTGCTTCAGACTGCAGTAGAATGAGCATGTTGGCTTGTTTCTAATAGCAATATGATTACTCCAATTGGAAGCAAACAGTGTTTCCTATAAACGTTTAAAATATCCTTGGCAGAAATAGCAGAGCCTAGCCCCCTTAATCGATTCAGCGTCTACTATGTTTTTGTTGATCAAATCTGTTTAATTTTTGTAGTGATCTTTTTCATTAACTCATTCGCAGGTATTAATATGTTCCCGAAATGGTAGTGTGTATTCCCTTGATGCGGTAAGCTTCTGGATTCATATATTTGATTATACAAACTTTTGGGCTACTTCTAACTTAATCATATTCAAACTTTCGGCTATTCATATATTTGATTTTTTAATCAGTTAACAGAAATTATTTTAATGGCAGGAAGGAGGAGATATCCTATGGGAATATCAAATTGGGGATCCGATCACTGCCTCTGCTTATGTTGACGAGCATTCTTTTATCGAAACTGATCCTTCTGATCCATGTGACAGGTAAATGCTGCATACTTGCAGTGCTAAAATTCTATGTTTTTCTCATAGACGAACTTTACAAATTAGAATGATGCTTTCAGGTTGGCTAGCATCTGTAGCTCTTCTGGAAGGATTCATGTGCTTAGGATCAACCCGAATGCTAAGCAAGAGAGAGCTCAACATGGAGAAGTTCCTCAGAACCGAATGGTTCAAGCATTTGCAGTCACAGACCTCGATGGGGATATTTTCTCTTCACCCGTAATGATCGGTGGTCGCATCTTTGTGGGATGCAGGGACGATTATGTGCATTGTATTAATGTTGTTACTTTATAAAAAAAATGTGTGAATCCTTGGCTTCGTGGAAAATGTAGTTTCAATAGCATAGTTTTCAGTCTACTGGGTACTGTGGTTCTCAACAGTTATGGTGTTGAGAATCTCCTGGAGGTGAGGAGCGGAGACGTAGGTTGTGGGTTGACCGAACTCCGTGATGATTTGCTTTGTGTTTGTGTTTAGCATTGGCGCACTTTTTCTCTTGTATATTTTCATATCGTCTTTTTGTCTTATGTTTATATCGCCCTTAGTTTAATTCCATACCCTTGCATTCATCACTTGTATACATCATATTGTTAGGATATTCTTAATAAGTTTTATTTGGCATTGATATCGAATTAGATTAGCAATTACTTTATTCATCCTCCTCTAGGGTACTTTCAATGGTGTCTCTGGCCATTAATTTGATTGCATTACTCGCGTAGGACATAAGCGCTTATTGATACATCACATCTTTTGCATGGCCGGTTTGGAAATTTGGATTTTTTTTGCAGTTGGGGTTGGGGTGTCGAAGTTCAAGGGGTTAATTGGGAAGAAAATTCAGGGGGAATTTTGTGAAATTCACCCTATGAGCTGAGATGCACGTAGACTGACCGCACGACAATTGTATATTTAAAACTCTACGAGGAGAATCAAGACTTTTCTAATTCCCCGCTCCGGGGACGAGATGATGAATCGAGTCTGATGTGGCAGCAATTTATCGGCTAAGAAGTGATGATACTATAGTTGCAATAATATTACCTTCAACGCCAATAGAAATTCGTGTAGGAAAGCGGGGTAAAATTGAATGCGAATTGGATGAAAAATATAGATTAAAATTTAGCAAAATCACCAACTTTTCACCTATTCCTCGCTATGAGAAAAGTAGATGGAAGCATAGCAAAGTGACATAATAAATTTGCTCCCGTTCCAAACGAATCAAAATTTTACAAACATATTAAAATCATAATATTTGATATACACAATTTATTTATATTCGTTCAAAATGAACCGAAATTGTAAAAATTCATGGGTTATAGCCCATAAAAATCACAAATATTGGTGTATATAATAGATTCACTTTTGTTCAAAATGAACAAAAATTGTCAAAAAATTGTTGTATACAGCTCATCGAATTCGTAAATTTTGTTGCTCACTAAATAAATTTACTTTCATCACAAACAAATCAAAATTGACAAAATCATGGTTTATAGCTCGTGATAGTCGCAAAGTCTGATATACAAAAAGTTTGTTTATATTCACTCAAAAAAATGAACCAAGATTTTAATGCACACATAATAATTTATTTTCAACCGAAAAGAACTAAAACTGATGAAATCATGGTTAATGCCCATGAAATAAGCTAATATTAATATACACATAATATATTTATTATTGTTCAAAATGAACCAAAGTTGACAAAATTCATGGGTTATAGCTCATTAAAGTCGCATATTCTGATGTACGCTTAATTTATTTATATCTTTTTTAAAATGAACTAAATTTTTTAAAAATCATGAATTATAGATCATTAACATAGCAAATTTTGATGTACACAAAGTTTATTTGTGATCATTTGAAATGAAAGAAAATTAACAAAAATCTTAGGTTATAAGTCGTGAAAATTGTGAATTTTTACGTGCACGTAATAAGTTTTCTTTTGATCAAAATGAAGTGTGGGTTATAGTCCATGGAAAGTGCAAATTTTGTTGCACACCTAATAAATTTACTTTCTTTGGAAATGAATTAAAATTATCAAAGATCATGGGTTATAACACATAAAATTGCATATTTTGATATACAATTAATAAGTTAAGTTTTGCTCAAAATGAATATAAATTTTCCAAAAATGTAGGTTATAGATCATCAAAATCATGGATTTTTTTCACTTAATAAGTTTACTTTTATTTGAATGAATGAGAAATAATAAAAAAATATGGCTTATAGCTCATGATAATCACGAAGTCTGATGTACAAATAATTTATTTACTTTCATTCAAATCGAACCAAGATTGTCAAAATTAATGGGTATAGCCAATGAAAATCATAAATTTTAATGTATACATAATAATTTTTGATATATCATGCAGATGGTTAAGTGTTAATCCCTAGTGAGAGACCGACACGTGTGCCGCCTTTGCTTAAATAGCGATATTCGGTAAGAGACAACTCAAGCGACTTCGACACTCGGCTCTTGCAGGCTGACAACGTTCGAGGTTGACTAAAAAGGCAGTACTTATCGGCTTACTTGCAAGATCAAGACAAGAGGTGTCCTCACTCTGCATATCATCTGTGGCGACCCCACTCCCCCTCAACACTCGACCCTTCAGGGCCGACAACTTTTGAGGCCGACTAAAAAGGCGGTACCTGTCGGTCTCCATGGAGATGAGTTAGAAGGCGGTGTGTCCTCGAGTGTCCCATCGATATTCGATTGTCATCACATTAAATACATGATCAGAGTCATCATTGCTCTAGCCCTGAAAGTCTTTATGACTCATCAGACTTCCGCACACTTAGTCACTCTCACATTATACGCAAGGATGACTCATCCCTATTTGTAGCCGACACCTGTAAACCAGATGCTGACTGAGCTGCTGCTTGGACTCGGCTGGAATTACCCATTTGCCACTTTGGATCTACTATAAAAGGAAGGTGCTCTCTATTGCTTAGAATAGGAAAATTCTACCTAGAAAAACTTCTAAACGCTTATTTCCTTCTTCTCGACTCAAGCTCTGAACTGACTTGATCGTCGAAGGAACGACCGGAGATCCCAAGTCCGACCTTTTATGAGTTCTTCATGTGCAGGATAGTATTTTTTGCAATCCATTCTCAAACCATTAGTTAGATAACTGACATCAACATTTTTTTCCATGAAACAAACCAAAATTGGCGAAAATAATGGGTTAAAGCCCATGGTATATGTCAATTCACATAATAAATTTATTTTTGTCAAAACAAACAAAAATTGGCAATGGGTTATAGTTCATTAAAGTCGCATATTTTGATGTACGCATAATTTATTTACATTGATTCAAAATGAATCAAAATTATCAAAAATAATGGGTTATAGCTCATCAAGTGGCAAAATTTAAAGTACACATAATATATTTGCATTTATTTGAAATGAATAAAAATTAATAAAAATCTTGGGTTGCAGCTCACGAAAATCGTGAATGCACGCATAATAAATTTATTTTTATTCAAAATGAATCGAATTGTAAAAAATTATTAGTTATAGCCCATGAAAATCATAAATTTTAATGTACACTCAATAAATTTGCTTTTATTCAAAACAAACTAAATTTGTCAAATATCGTCTGTTATAACACATGAAAATTATAAGTTTTTATGTACACTTAATAAATTTCGTATGTTAAAAAAGAATTAGAATTTACAAAACTCGTGGGCTATAACACTTGAAAATTGCAAAATTTTATGTACATATAATAAATTTTATTTTCATTTCAAATAAACCAAATTGAAAATTTGTTGGTTATAGATCATAAAAATATCAAATTTTGATATACATATAATGTTTTAAAATTCATTCCAAAAGAATCAAGATGGTCACAATTCATGGGTTATGGCTTGTTAAATACAAAAATTTTGATGTACAGATAATAAATTTACTTCCATTCGAAAAGAACCAAAATTGAAAAATATGTGGATTATAAATCATAAAAATTGTGAATTTTAATGTACGCATAATTTAGTTACATTCATTTAAATGAATCAAAATTGTCAAAATTCATGGGTTACAGTCTATGAAAATCAAAATTTTTTAATATACATATTATAATTTTACTTTGTTTAAAATGAACCAAAATTGATAAAATTCATGGCTATAACTCATTAAAATTGTGATATTGGATGTACAAATAATTTATATGATGTGTTATAATACATGAAAATTGTAAACTCTTGATGTACACATAATAAATTTACTTTGCTTGAAATGATCCAAAACTAAAAATTTCATGGGTTTCATGAAAATCTTAAAATTTGATGTGCATATACAAAATTTTATTTTCATTTGAAACAAACCAAATTTGAGAAATATGTGGGTTATAGGTGGATTATAGATAAAAGAAATCCTAAATTTTGATGGGCACATAATTTATTTGTATTCGCTTGGAAAGAACAAAAAGTACAAGAATCTTAGCCATAGTTAGGTGTGTCCAAATGGGGCAGACGAGGTCGGGTTGGGCCGGCCCAGAACTCTAGGTCTAGGCTAGCTAGGTTGACCCGGGCTTGGAGCTACCAGGCCAGGTGTAGGTTCGGGTCCGGGCCAGATGCGGGTAGGGTATCGGGTCGGCTTGATTTTTTAATTTTTTGGTTAAAGATTATGTTTTTAATAAAAAATCAATTAAATTAGATTTTTGTAATTTTTTAGATTAATTTTTCTAATTGTTGTAATTTTTATAAAAAATCACTACGAACTTTGAACAGACGAGGTCGGGTTGGGCCGGCCCAGAACTCTAGGTCTAGGCTAGCTAGGTTGACCCGGGCTTGGAGCTACCAGGCCAGGTGTAGGTTCGGGTCCGGGCCAGATGCGGGTAGGGTATCGGGTCGGCTTGATTTTTTAATTTTTTGGTTAAAGATTATGTTTTTAATAAAAAATCAATTAAATTAGATTTTTGTAATTTTTTAGATTAATTTTTCTAATTGTTGTAATTTTTATAAAAAATCACTACGAACTTTGAAAAAAGATTTAACTTATAAGAATTATAAGTATATACTTATATGTAAGTATATAACTATATATTATATATACTTAGATATGATATACTTATAACTGTGTGCGCGTGTTGCTAACAAGTATATAGTTATATACAATATACTGATAAGTATATACAAGTATATATAGCATAAACTTAGAGGCGTTCAGACACACAAAAAAGTAACAAAAACTACCTCCAATATGACACAAAATTAGTTTGGCTATTTGCCTGGCTTTAAATCTCCCATAGAGATGGCTATGATTCAAACCTCAAAATCATTGAATTTAATTATATTTTAAAAATAAATATGTATATATTCACCTAGACCCTGCATCCTGATCCGGGCGGGGTATTGGCGAACCAATCCGAACCCTGGCTCAAGTTGCGAGCTTTTTGGACACCCCTAGTTCTAATTCATGAAAGCTGTAAATTTTTATGTGCAAGTAATAAATTTACATTGTTCAAAATAAACCCAAATTACC